ATATATATATATATATATATATATATATATATAATACTATATATATATATATATATATATNTATATATATATATATATATATATATATATATATATATATATATATATACGTGTGTGTGAGTGAGTGTTAAATCATTTGCTACTATTTCTGTTCAGGTCATGTTTTAATAATGTTCTACTACTGTTGTTCGTTGCAGAGAGGGTGTGACTGGTGCGCCTGATTTGGGACCACTGAGGCGGCGTGTGAAGAAAGTGCTCAAAGACGCACAGGACGGCACCAACACACACCCACGCGATGACACACCCACGGACACACACGCAGCACTCACCTCTCCTGGAGGACAACAGAGCATAGAGACATACATGCAACAACCCCCACACAGCGACCACAGCCCAAACAACACAAACAACACAAACAACACACACGGCGAAGAGAGCTCACACAGTCCTGCGGTAGGCCAAGGGGAAGCCGATAGGGTTCCTCAAATAATATCAAAGACGGTGTGTGAAAGGAGATGTGCACTGTGTACATGCTTGTTGGTTGGGGTAGTTCGAGAGGGCCCTAGTCTTAGGGTTTTAGCCCTCGGTTCGTATTGAGGTTGTGTCTGTCTGCTGTATGATACCCACGGACACAACGTTTGTATGGGCTAGGGTTTTGAAACCCTAAACCCCTATGCAACGTGCACCTAGAAATGGCACAACTACACACGTGCGTATGATATGCCCTTGGTTGCCTGTGCTGGTGGTGGGTGGTTACACTCTTATGCGTCATATCTAATACCACACTTGATAGTCGGATCACTTCGTTTACAAAAGCCGAACTCATGGATTTGTATTTGACTGACAGACACCTATTCAATATCCGTTGTGTTGTGAGTCCGTTGCCATGGCAATGGGCCCAGAGTGGTCTGTATGTGCACTAGCGATTATACCCCAGTCATACACCAAAGCACTTAAGCACTTGCACCTTTGAAATAGAAACCCTAAACCTTACTGTGTGAAGTATCACTGTGGTGTATGTTAGTCTTAGGTTAGCATGTTCACCTCTACAATAAACAGTAGCGCATGTTTGTTTTACCTACATGTCGTCTTTGTTGTCACCCATTTCCCCTTCCTGTCACACGTGTGTAAACTGTCGTGCTAATACACGCATGCGCTGGTTTTATGTTGCTGTTGCCATGGCAGCCATTCACCAAGTGCGGAGAGCGTAAGACAACGCTGATTATCTGCCCAGCATCAGTAGTCAACAACTGGCAGACCCAACTGGCCACCCACATACATCCCAGTATAGTCAAACGTCTCAAGGTAGGTCCACGGCATATCACACACATATGTATAT